CGTGAGCGTGTAAAAGAATCATTAGATATATTCACATCCTGGTATCAAAAGTTTCTTGGAAAAAATATATAAGCTACTAATATCGCTTTGTTAGTAATCCCACAATGGTGGATATCTGAGGCGTTGCGAGTTGTAGTGCCTCAGTAGCTATGCGTGGGTTTGGTCCTCTTAGCATGAGCTTACTGATTCTGTGCCCTCTTATCTGTTGCCAGTGAATTTGGTGTTTTGTAGTTATTCACCTGTTCACTGCCTGTCGAGCAGAGGTTTTGCTTATCCCAAATACAGGTTCGGGTCCTGTGAATGGTAGATCTGATCCCTCTTTGGCGAGTTCATCAGCCTTTTCATTTCCTTGGATACCTTTGTGCCCTGGTACCCATACTAGTTTTACCTTGTTGTGGGTTGCCAGATCATTCAGTATTCCAAGGCAGTTCCAGATAAGCTTTGACTTGATTCTGTTTAAATCAAGAGCCTTTAAGGCTGCTTGGCTATCTGAGAGAATTAGGATGGTTTGTTTTTTGTACTTCCTTCTTAAATTCTCTCGTACATACATATATTTCCAGTGGTTGTCTTTTTTTCTGCCTCAACGAGATTTATTAAAGGGAAACTTTTCGAGTAACTTCTTTGGTTATTTTTTGCCTTTATTATTTTTTGTGGTGTAACGGATAATTGTCACATGGTGGTGGTCCTATTAATTTGTTTCTATTGCCCTATTTAATTTATCTGCAGAAACACTGCTTAAAAAAAGATAACTATCAATCACAAACTATTCGTAAATATCTAACTTTTAGCAGCACAGTGGACTAACATATATTGTTCTTATACACAGGTACCCTAACTTTAAAAGTTTTGAGATCTACAGTCATGTATTTATGTTTGTTGGCAAATGTGTAGTTACTGTTTTTTACTAATTTTATTACAATTAGACTGGAACAGCTCACCGTGTGCCACATTATTAATATTATGCACCTTCAAATGCAAAGTTAAATGAAAAACGAAAAATGTAAACTTTTGAACAGATAATAGATTAGATACTTACCTGTCGCGCGTCGCAACAGTAACGATGTATAAATAAAATAAATCGACACAATTTACATCGCGTTAGCTTTGAATACCCGTATTTTTCTGCATTTGTGCTTTTCCCTAGTGTCGTTTAATTGAAATCCGGCACTTTATATCATATCATAAATACTCAGTGTTACTCTCCAGGTGTGCCGATTATTATCGCTATAAGATGATGCTCATATCGTAGTTTATGTAAGTGTACTGTAGCGGGTGTCACAAGAGAAAATTCATATGACCTGTAAAATTAAATTTTGATAAAAACGCAAACGCAAAAACTGTGTGCGAAAATGTTATTGAAAATTTTGTAAAAAGAATGTTAGCATGCTAAAGAAGCAGGGGTATCACATGCCAGATATGATTTTTCATTAGTAGCCGCAACATTTAAACTTTAAAATAATACAATAACATTTTAATATTTCAAGGTTTTTTTTTGTGATTTATTATTAAATTAAATTCGAAGGTCAAATTTGGACACCCTATATTACTTAAGGTTTGAGAATTTCAAAAGTGGTTTCACATACTATTATGATACTTAAAAAATCTATTTTGTACTTACCAAGAAAAAAAAAATAAATGAAAAATAAGGTGAATAAAACCAAAGTATACATGGTGTTCCATAATTATGTAATTGTTGAATTTTCAATTTTTTGTTATTGATAAGCAAAACAGTTTGGTAATATTATCTTCAACCCTAGTTTTTTTTAATATTACTGGGTTTGCCAAGCAATCAATTTTTTTTATTAAATTGGAGAGTGATGCAGACCCCACATTAAATTATTATAATTTAGGTAGTTTTACAATGATTTAAAATTTGTTTAAAATTCAGACTTATAAGATGTAGTAATAAAACTGGAATATTTGGTAACATTTCTTAAATATGGCTAATTTTATTTTCATATTACTCTCTTGTTTTTAAATGCAACATAAAAGTCATTACATATTTTTCTATTCGATGATACCAACATCTTAGTCAATAACACATACATAAGGCGTCCCATGAGCTCATGATTGATAGCTGTTTTATTATTGGAAATACAAAGAAATGTTTAAAATAAAAGTTATATGACCATATTTAACAATTATTATTAAATATACAGGATGTTCCATATTCGAGGTACTGACCAAACCTATATTGTTTTAAAGCAAAACACCCTGCAGGTAGTTATACATAATGGGTATCCCAGAAGGTTCCCCTTATTTATTTGTCGACTATTACGCAAAGTAGTGGAAGAGCGTCTGCATATGTTGGAAGTCAAGACAGAAGATCGGAAATCACTGAAATTAGTTGTAATAGACCGGTCTACCGGTGAACAACGTGCTATGTGTGTTCAAGCGTTTTAAGAGAACAGTCATTCCTTCGTAACAGTTCGACGTCTATGTTGAGCCCATTATCATCTTCACGACATAAATAAAGCATCATTGGCGAGATTAATAGGATTTTGGGTTTATAAATTTAATAAAGAAGGCACCATGAATAATAAGCCTACAGGTCGCCTCAGGACTGTAAAAAATCATAAAAACATCGAGCGTGTTCGAGCCGCAGTAACGCGTAATTCACGGCGTTCGGTCCGAAAAAAGTCAGCGGCCTTGATTTTATCAAAAACGGTTATTCACAACATACTAAAGATTCAAAGTTTTACCCGTATAAAAGTCAAGTGGTACAGGCCTTGAAAGTTGAGGCTAATCCACTTCGGATTGCTCTTGCGGATACATTACATAATACTTTTGAAACTTTCGACGATATATTATTCAGCGATAAGGCATATTTTCATTTAGACGGCTTTGTAAATTAACAAAACTGCTGTTACTTGTCCCCTGAAAACCCTAAACAGAAGCATCAAAGACCACTGCACTCTACCAAAGTGACGTTATGGGCTGCAATAAGATATGCAAACCTTTCAATGGAAGTCCTCAGGACCATTTTTCCAAAAAGAGTGATTTCTAAACGGTGGATATTAACTGGCCACCCAGAAGCCCCGATTTAACCCCCATGGATTTTTTCTATGGGGTTATCTTAAACAAAGAGTATACAGCACGACACCAAAAACTTTGAAACAGCTGTGGCAAAAAATCCATAAATAAATTCAAAATTTGTATACAGACTAGGCAATATAAAACTTTCGAACTTTCTTTGCCTGTATTAGAGTGTAAAACTCTAGGCGATCGTACACGCATTAGAAGAAGTGATATAACATCGATAATATGTGAGGAGCAGACTTTCTAGATGCATTTTGTGCATTTTTTAAATTTTCAACCAAAAGTGTCATCACCAACTGTATACATAGAGCTACAATATTAGGCCACAAAAGACGTTCTAAATGCAAGTTAAATGACAAAAATACCTTGGACTTTATATGTGCTGTATGTCCATTGGCGGTAGACAAACTAACATAAGTTTGTCCTTGCGCCGTGGACTAATTGTCATTTGTTTGTCATTGCACTTGTTGCTGTCCGAAGTGGTTGTTTTGTGTGCTTACATTTCTCTGTTTCTTTACAAAACAATCCAAAATAATGGATGTACTTATGACAGGGGATCATATAGTTGGTGATACGGACTGTGGTAGTAGAAAAAGAAATATCACGTCTAAAGAGCGTAAAAGTAATGTTAGGTAAGTTTGAACAATTTTTAGGTTATGTTTGTATTATGTTCATTGACATAACACAAATTATGCTATTTTGCTTAAAACCGAGTTGTTTTACAACAATGACGATCCCTCCAAACAATTTCAAACGTTACTAAAACGCGGAAAGAATCTTCCGACTTTACAGTTACCTGCTGTACCACTTCACAATGATATTAAAACAAAAAAAACTCCAGAGCCTCTCGAAACTGTTAGTGAAACTGTCAGGGGTAAATTGGGTTGACGATCCTGAACTAACATGGTTACAGCCGATTCTCTCTGACAATCTTGTACGAAATGACAATCTTGTACGAAATGACAATCTAGATAACCAAGATGAAACTGACGATGATGACGTTATCGAAGAAGCTGACATGTTATGCGATTGCAATAATGATGACTATGGGGATCTTTATGACATGTAAAGTGTCATTATTGTTTTATTTCATTTAAGAAAATTATTTTGTATAAAAATAAAATACTATTCTTATAAATCGACATAAGTTTTTTTACATTGTTTTTTTTGTGTCTTTGGCATCAACTGTTATGGTTATTAGCCTCGTGTTCACTGTAGGCCAAATTGCCAAGTCAGTCATGCCACTTTGTGTACACAATCAAAATGCATTTTGTCCCAGGGTGACATTCTAAATTCAGTTTGTCCAACATTTTTTTGAATTTTTCGGAATATAATCAATACTTGATTTTTTGCATGTAGGTATAATATTTGCATGATTTTTCATCAATTTTTTGGTTAATTGATTGCCAAACTTTTTTTTTTTTATTTGCCAAATAATGGACAAAATGCATCTGGAAAGTCTGATCCTCATGTATATTTATATTCTCATTAATATACTACATCTCATGGTATAAATAAGTCATTGAAGAATATATTTTAAAAGTTGACTTTAAATTTATAATTGGAAAATATTGTTTAAAACGAATATCAAAACTATGTCAGTAACATTTATTAAACAGTAATCTTTATAACCAAATATCTAAAAAGTTTGTTAAACAGTAAAAATAATTTATAACAGATTTCGTCCATCTCTAGACCCGTCGGCCTAATTTGATGCTTTAATACGTTTATCAGTTAACGTATTTATGTGTATTTTCAATTTTTTTTAATTTCAAAATATCTATTAGAACAAAATTTTTGTTTGTACAAATCAGTACAATAAACTTCTCGTATTACTATTCTTATATATCATTCATTATACATGCGAGCACCAAACTATTTTGTCTACTTATTTTAAGACACTCTGTATAGCAAACATTATGCATCGCACATCACCAGATAACTACTTTGTTGCTCCCCAGGTGTCCGATTTTTATCATGACGCATCGAGCGGCAACCAAATGGACGTTGTCGTGGTTCGCATAATGTATTTGGAAAAAGAAGAAGAGGAAATCGACCTGGCCATAAATGAGAACGCCGAGAAGACATTGGAGAGCTTCTGTAACTGGCAGGTCAAGATAAATCCCAAAGATGTAACAAATCCCAATCACCACGATATAGCCGTCTTACTAACCAGGTTTGTACGTCATTTCGAATTAATTCGCACGAATGGGTGGCGCTTATCTTGTCAGTACCCACATCAAAAATGATTCAAGGGTAATAATTATATTTTTATCAAAATTTAAGTAACTATAGTCTTGAACAAGTTTAATAAAATATACTAGGTGTTCTTTAATGATATGTTAATATTTAAGGATGCAAATCTACATAAAAAATTAGTGATAGTTTGCTTACAAACTATGGTCCAAATGTATTTTTTTTTCTTTTTTTTCAATAATTACGAAGATAGTTCACGAATTATTGTCCCTAATATAAAAGCAAACATATGAGAAGAACAAAACTAATTAATTTTTTAACCTGCAACATTTATAGCGACTTAAAAGCATTAGAATGTAGAAGTTTGGACTTGGGAACCTATCTATTTTCTGATGATGCGTCTTCTATAATTTCTTTTATAGAAAGTAAGATCTCTTCTGATATAACCTCTATGAAAACCGATATTTCTTCTGTTGTTTCCTCTATAAAAAATAATATTTTCTCCTTAGAAACTAAAGTTTCTACTGTCATTACTTCCTTAGAAAATAAAGTTTTTCTAATATTTCTTCCTTAGAAGAAAAGGTGATATGTCTTCCGCGAAAAATTGAAATCTTTTCTTTATGATAAATCTTTTTTAAAAAATGAAATTTCTTTCGATTTGGAAAACAAAATATTTTCTATAATAAATGAAACTTTTTCTGTTGAGAAAAAATTAATATCTTCCATAAAATAGAAAATAAAAGAAATGGAAAAGACGATAGAAGAACTGGAACATACAGAACCGGTTAAGGACGGTAAAATAAAGTGCCATGAGGTGGAGTTAAAGTTGAAATTGGAAGAAGCTGTAAATTCTGCTCGTGTTAAAACCCCAACTTTCAAAGGAAAGGTATCATGGACCAACTACCTTAAACAGCTGCGAGAGCGAATGGATGGTCTCAAAAAGAAAAGGCAGTAAATTTGACCATAGCCCTTTGAGGAGACTCTTTAGATATCCTTCAGACTATATCTGAGACTTAACATGCGATAATACCAGTTACAGTTAAAGAATAGCGAACATAAACGAGACGAGACTCTTCAAGAAACTTAAGAAGATATTGCGAGGTTGATATGGTTTGCATAACCATCAGCTCCAGAAAACATGATTGAATGTTTGGCAATCCAAACATTTGTTTATGGACTCCGTGACCACGAGATGAAAAAACACTCCGCTTAACCCGTCATAAAACATTGGTCAATGTCTTGTTGGCTGCTCTAGCGTATGAGACAGCTACGCAGGCTTCTGAAGAACACAGTTAAGTGAGTACTGTAAAAAAAGAAACGTGGAAGTAAAACTCGACCAACATAATGAAGAGCTTCGCTGACAAAAAGATAAAGACAAAGACCATCAGGTGCTGAAATTGCGGTAAACTGGGACATTACGGTTCGAGGAAACGCCCTAGGATACCAACAAAAGATTAAAACACGCCGCAGGAAAACTAGAGTGGGTCAGCCTAGAGGGGATAGCTTCGATTCGAAATCGTTCCAAAGACCCTCTCATACTGATAGCCTCTTTGAAACATCGCGATGATAGTGTATACGTAGACGGCAAAGTAAATGGTAAAAAGTATACACTGTTGGTGGATACTGAGGCAACTAGGCGCATTATACGACCAATAAACATAAATAGCCTTAAGAGGCCTCTACCAACAAGATTGGGACTGCGGACGGCTACAGATGGGGTAATCCAGGTTTAATTAGACATTGGTGCAGAAAAGTTTACTCACACTGTTATTGTCGCTGATAGATATCGAAGAAGATGTTATACTAGGAATTGATGAAATTAACTTACAATAAGACTTTAAAAACAAAGTGATTAAAGTTAGTGCCGAAGAGGTATTTCTACATCCAAATGAGGACAGTATCGTGCCAGTTGCTGTACAGGAGGCTACAGTGGTTCCTGGCAGAAGTGAAACGATTATAGTAGCACGGCTACAAGAATTCATGGAAAAAGGAACACTTGTTATAATGGAACCTTAGAATCACGATGAAGAGATTGAACAAGAAATTCTGATCGGAAAGGGGTTGGTCACGACTACTAAATAAATTCCAGTCCGTCTCATAAACTTTAATGATCACCATATTACCATCAAGAAAGAGACCAGAATCGGAACTTGTGTACCAATAACTTCCATACAACAACTTCTGATTATTTCAACGACAAATTTAATCAAATTATTGCAGTTGGTGAATCTCTGAATCAATTATAGAAAATGAAAATAAAGGAATTTCTTCGACGATATCGTGACATTTTTGTACCAAAAGGAGGAAAAACAGGAAAAACTTCTGTTGTAAAACCCAAAATTGGTACTGGTAACGCAAAACCAATTCGTCAATCAGCTCGAAGGTTACCAAAGGCCAAGAGAGAGAAAGCTGAGGTGATAGAACCTTCTACCAGTTCATGGGTCTCTCCGGTACACTAAAAGGATATAACTACGAGGTTATGTGTGGATTACCGTCAGTTAAACAATATTACCAAAAAAGATAGTTATTCTCTGCTTTGAATCGACTATATCTTGGACACATTGGCTGGAAGTAAACTATTTTATACCTTAGCTTAAAGTTTGGATATTGGCAGGTAGAAATGGACCCAGTGGACAAAGAAAAGACAGCTTTTACCACCGAATCTGGATTGTGATAATTCAGTGTTGTCATTTGAACTATGTAATGCCCCCGCGACATGTAATCGTATTAAGAGGGTTATCCTGGAAGACATGCCTGGTGTATTTAGACGACATAATAGTCTTGGGAAAGACCTTTGATGAACATCTAAAGAACTTACAATACGTTTTTAAAAGTCTCTAATTTGCCCAAGTACAAGTAAACTCAAATGCAAGAGAATTCAAGTAACCTTCCGATTTTTAATATTTATTGGTTTATATCCAGGAGGAGCAAAACGTTTTTTTGGTTGCACTTCATTCAGTTTATCGCGCCTCGGAATCCCGTCCACATCTGCATGCTCGTGCGTCCCCAGCTTGCCTCATACGCGTACGTGCTCAGATCTGTCCCCTCCTTCATAAGTCAAATTCAAGGTAACAACATTTTCTCTAAGTACATCAAAGGACCAATAGTTATTGTCGCTTCTTTGTGGTTGCTTTTCCCGGCTGCAACATCAAAAAGTAAAACTGGATACCTACTCGTTTTGGAATTTATAAACCAGGAAAGGGTCTAAGGCATCTAAAACTTAAAGGAAGCAACAAATTTAACGCACAAAATTAATCTGCGTGGAGAGGGATCTGGTACACAAGGAATAAATTGTATAATGTTTTATTCCTTAATAATACCATAAAAACGTACTAAATTTAATTTAATCTCAATGTATTTTGACTAATTATTGTTAAAATGTAGAGTTCCATGACAAATCAGCGCAAAATAGAATGCAGGACAAAATAGCGCAGAACAAAAAAGAGAAGGAGAAAAGAAACCAGGGACAAAATAGCGCAAGGACAAAATAGCGCATGGACAAAATAGCGCAAGGACAAAATAGCGCATGGACAAAATAGCGCAGGAGAAAATAACATAGGAAAAAAGTGCGTGACAAAATATTCCAGTATTTTAAATAAAATTTAAAAAAAAAAACTAATTTCCCTAACCTAGGCGGTCTGGAGATTGCTTGAAAAAATTAAGTAAGTACCTACATAGAATACTGGAATAATTTTTTCTGTTATGTATTTATCTCTATATTATCTTGCGCTATATTGTCTGCGCTCTTTTATCTCATGCTTTTTTGTCATGTGCCATTTTAACCTGCGCTGTTTTGTCATGAAGCCAAAAACTGTAGCTATACAATAATAATTAGTCTGGTACAAGTCCTATATAATTAATGAGACGTTTTTAATTCAGTGGATCACTTATGGAATACAATTATTTTTAGAGTTATTTTAGAAAAATTGAAAAACAATCTGACGTCAATTTTTAATTTAAAATATATGCAGTAATAGGTGATTTTTGTTAAATGGATCGACCCCATATATTTTTATGTTTTTAATTATTCTGGATCTGATTAATTCAACGACCTACTTAAACGAAAAACTGGGTAAAATAACCACACCAAACAAAAACTATTTTCATTAATATCCTGAAAATAATTTTTTATTAAATCATAGGTATTGTATTGTAAAAAAAAATTACCTATCTATTACTGCATGTACATGAATCGTTTTGTAGGCATGTTCAAATTATTAATTTGATTAAAACATTTTCATATTTTTGTAAAATAATGCCAAAAATAAATTTATTTGCTAAATAGTGTCCACTCTGTATAAACAGTGAAGAAATTTTAAAAATTATCGAGTAACATCTTATATTTTATTTTTTGTATCATGGGTTTTACCACTGTTTGGTAAATCCAGCAGATCACTTGGTGACTAATATTTCATGTTTTGGCTTTGTTACTGTTTCCCAGCCTCACTTTAGGAACAGCACTGTTAATTAGTACCCAACAGTGAATGGTCGAGTGGGAAATCCTATCAAGGCATCAGAATTAATTTTAAATAATTAAATAAAATGAAAAAATCCCGGCCAACGGTGGGATTCGAACCTGGGACCCTTGGATCCGCAGGCAGAGACTCCAACACTGAGCCACCCACCCCTCTAGAAAGATTGTTAAAGCTTGTCGAGTTTTCTTTTTTTGGTAAAGGGGACTACAACAGTTTTCCGATGGTTAATAAATATCTGCTCTCTCTCGCGCCATCTGTTGATGGTATTTAGGTATTGTTAAAGGATATTATCGATCAGGCGATCCAGACGATTTTCGGTACTTATTTTCCAAGTCAGCAAACATGGATAAAATTGTAGAGTTAATTATTATAAACAAAATTCATATATAATTAGGGGATAGGGGATTCCGAATGGTGGAAAATGCGCCAGAACATACAAAAACACGTTCTTTTTTTCCAGTGATAAAAATAGTTCTTGTATTAAGAGATATACAGAAGTTAAGTA